AATATTGCAGCACGTTTGAAGTTTGCAAAAGAGCACCTGGATGTTCCACAGCACTACTGGCAAAATATACTGTGGACAGATGAAACCAAGATTGAGTTGTTTGGGAAGAACACTCAACACTATGTGTGGAGAAAAAAAGGCACAGCACACCAACATCAAAACCTCATCCCCACTGTGAAACATGGTGGAGGGAGCATCATGGTTTGGGGCTGCTTTGCTGCCTCAGGGCCTGGACGGATTGTTGTCATTGATGGGAAAATGATTTCCAGAGTTTATCAAGACATTTTGCAGGAAAACGTACGACCATCTGTCCGCCAACTGAAGCTCCGCAGAGGATGGGTGATGCAACAGGACAATGACCCAAAGCATACAAGTCATTCAACAAAACAATGGCTGCAACAGCACAGAATACACCTTCTGGAGTGGCCCAGTCAGAGTCCTGACCTCAACCCGATTGAAATGCTGTGGCATGACCTTAAGAGAGCGATTCACACCAGACATCCCAAGAATATTGCTACACTGAAACAGTTTTGTGAAGAGGAGTGGTCCAAAATGACTCCAGATCGTTGTGCAGGTCTGATCTGCAACTACAGGAAACGTTTGGTTGAGGTTATTGCTGCCCAAGGAGGGTCAACCAGTTATTAGGTCCAAAGGTTCACATACTTTTTCCTCCCTGCACTGTGAATGTTTACATGTTATGTGCAATTAAACCATGGCAACGTCTAATGTTTGTGTAGTATTATGTTCAGCAGACTGTGTTCTTCTATTGTTGTGACTTAGATGACGTTCAGAGCACATTTTATGCACAATTCATGCAAAACTCCACGTAATCCCAAGGGGTTCACATACTTTTTCTTGCAACTGTATATAGCCATCATTTTAGCTCCTTGTTTTTGGGCTTTGTGCTGGAAGTCAGAACATGCAAATATGTTCTGATATGAGAAGGCATCGCTGTATCTGAAAGCAGGTAGAAAATAGAGCTCTGGAAAGACCATCTGATAAGAAAATGATGGTGATGGATAAATACCATGGGGTTGATTTACTTAAACTGGAGAGTGCAAAATCTGGTGCAGCTCTGCAGAGAAACCAATCACCTACCAGCATTTTTGTCAAAGCTTAACCCCTTCCCGACTACCCTAGAGCAGAAATACTTCTGCAGGGTGGCACGGGTGTGCAACATCATGTGTGTATATATATGTGATTTTGCATTTCCGAGTAGGGGGTGCACGCACTCCCTACCCATGCCGTTATTCAAGGCTGTGGCTGTCAGTCACCGGGTCTCAGCTGATGATTGCCGATCATCTCCGATGAGGAGGAGAACTGTTTGTAAACAAAACAGTTCTCCTCTCTGGCAGCTTGTGCACACTGCTTTGGATGGCTGAGTACAGCCATCCAAAGCAGTGTGCTTACAGTGAAGCACATGGACAAAGCACTTAGTGAAACAGCACACAATTAACCCTTTGATCGTCCATGTTAACCCCTTCCTGCCTAGTGCCATTAGTACAGTGTCAGTGCTGGTTTTTTTTTTTTTTTAGCACTGATCACTGTATTGGTGTCAGTGACACCAAGTCAGTCCCCCCCCAGCGTCAGAATGCCCACCTCAGTCCCACTGATAAATTGCTGATCTCCGCCATTACTAGTAAAAAAAAAAAAAAAATCCCAGTATATATGCGGCCATTTGTAAACGCTATAACTTTCACATAAACCAATTAATTTACACATATTGAGATTTTTTTTTTTTAGCAAAGACGTGATAGAATACATTTTGGACTAAATTTATGACGAAATTTGATTTTTTAATTTTTTTTTACTGGACATATTTAATAGCAAAAAGTAAAAAATATTGTTTTTTTTTTCTCAAAATTGTCGGTATTTTTTTTTTTATAGCACAAAAAATAAAAACCGCACAGGCGATCAACTACCACTGAAAAAAAGCTCAATTCATGGGAAAAAAAAAGGACGTAAATTTCATTTGGGTGCAGTGTTGCATGACTGCGTAATTGTCAGTTAAAGTAACGCAGCACCATAACGCAAAAAATGGCCTGGTCAGGATGGGGGGGGGGGTAAATCCTAAGGAGGGCAAGTGGTTATAGTGGCAGTAAACTCTTTTTTTTTAACGTTTACCTACACGTACACTTATAATAAAGCCTACCGGTAGGTAAAATGCATATCTCCTAAACGTGCACTGTTTAGGAGATATCGCTCTTTTTGAGAGCAGGCACATGTGCGCTGAAGGAACAGCATACCCATGCCGTTCCTTCAGAGTACTGTGCTGTGGCCTGGGACTTCAGCGCGTATGCGCAAGAGTGATGTCATCATTGCAGATGGCTGGAGCTCACAAACCTGGTAGGAAGACTGGGTGAAGATGGAAGCCTCTGTAGCGGTGACAGCGCACCACTGGAGGGCTTCGTTTTAGGGTAAGTCTTCATAATGTTCTAGTATTCAATGCATACAATTATGAGATTACCTTGTAGGGGATTTGTTTTTTTTTTTTTTTTTTTTTTTTTTTTCTTCTTACGTGCGGCTTGCTACCGCTTTTACTAAACAAACCAAAGTTACAAGCTGATTGTTTACCATCTAGAGCTACAGCAGATTTTGCAATCTCCAGTTTTAGTAACTCAACCCTTATGAGTCAATGTGCTCCCTGTACTCAGCACTAGTCCTATCACAAGGTCCACCAATATAGACGGTACAAATAAACAGAATTATAGAGAATCCAACACTAAAGGAATTTTGACAACTGATACAAAACCCAAAAATGGTGGTGTCGAGCACAAAAATGTATTGGAATGTTTTTTTCTTTTTTTGTTAAACATGTTTTAACTCCAGGTTCAGCAAAGGTGTATAACACGAGTAGCCAAAATCATAGCTCCATTGGTAAATTAAACAGTACACATGTCAACTCTGTACTCAGCCATCTGTCTGTATGCACTGCCCTAAACAGGTGTGAAGATGAGGAAGCCTTTCTGATTTACATACTTGTTCTGGATCAGTTAATGGGGAAAGTATTAAAGTGGAAATCCCCCAAAAATTACAGCGGGGTTGATTTACTAAAGGCAAATAGACTGTGCAGTTTATTTCAGAAGGTCAGAGTTTACCATATGAAAAAAAAAACTTGGGGTAGCAACATTTTTTCCAAACAAGTAAAATAGCCTTTCTGGCTTGGGAAAAAAAAAAATTAATCTAGTGTAAGCAAGAGACAAACTTCAGGGGTCTCGAGACTGGGGACCTAAAGGTGGGTTTCTACTACAGTAAACACACTGCTAAAGAAGGTGACAACTTGTGGGCAGTGCCTCACTGCAACCTTAATGGTTATATACCGTTTCCCTATCTGTTTTCAGGAATCGATGGCACCTCCATCTAAATCCTTGGAAACTCTACAGTAGGGGTGTGCAACCTTCTGACTTTCCTGGGCCACATTGGAAATAGAGGAATTGTCTTGGGCCACACATAAAATACACTAACAATCATAATAGCTGATGAGCAGAAAACGTTGGGCAGATTGCAAGTTAACAATCGCTGATCTAGATAATATACCTATTCTAAAACTAATAAAACTTTAATTCTTTTTAAATTTTAAAAGAGGGCAACATAAAACTGGTGCGATATTTGACAATGTTTTTGATAAACTAACATCCATATCTGGTTCGATGGATGTAGTAGAAAATCTCAATGAATTCTCAAGGTGCTCCTCAGATATTTTTGCTCTAATTTTGTCCTTCATCCTTTTTTTTTTTTTTATATATAAGGGTGTTTATTTTGCATTTATGAGACACAAACAAAAAAAAAACAGAACAAGGAAGATACAAATAATAACAGGAGTTCAAACTAAAAAAATCAAAGAATAAGGGTACATAATATACAAAAGGGGATCCAAAGCAAAAACCAAACATCAAAGTATCGTAGGCAAGAAACCCAATACATATGACAAAGGATAATCGCAAGATAACATAACGGGTAAGCAGTCAGAACATACAAAAACAGCCAATCACATACAACAGTCACAAACAAACACCCACACCATCAACTCCCTTACAAATCAGAGGAAATCAGTAGCATGTAAAATCTGGCCACTCAAACCATAGAATCCTGTGACAATGGTTGATGTGCTTCATCCTTGACAGTTGCTCAGAAATATAGGTGCTGCCAAAAACCGATGACATGAATAAAGCATGATTGTGAAGAGTGGGATATTTTTCTTTGGGAAGATAAAACTTATAAAAGTCTAGTAAAGGATACTGTTTTTGTTTGGCCGCATGTGTTTGCGAAGTGTAAATGCATTTTTACTAAATTTGTTTTAAAAAATAATTTTTAAATAAGGGCCACATTCACAGCTATCTTGGGCCACAAGTGTTTTTATTTTTTTTTTTTTTTTTTTAAAGGCTCAAAACAAATACAGGCTATAGGCAGCTTTTCCTGATTGTGTGTTTTTTGTTTTTAAGTTTTAAGTCTACTTTTTTGCTAGGTTCATACCCATGGGTTTACTGCGCATTAATGTAACAGAACGTTAGTTTGTCTTGCATTGCCATTTCATTAGAATGGCACCCCAATGCACACAGTGGATGCTAGTGCACATGTGCTTACAGTACACTACAACGAACATGCTATGTGTCGAGGTGCACTGCATTGCCAGAAATTGTTCAGGTGTGTTTCTTTGGCAAAATACATAAAAATGTGTGTGAATGGCCTTGAGGTAGACTTTTATCTGTACATCTTAGTTGCAATGTGAGATCTTACTGGTGAAAGTGTTCTATTAGCTTGTACATTTTGATACAGATATTCTCTGTTTTAAAAGTCCGCTGAGCAGATGTAGTGGAAATCCAGACTATATCTGGCTTGTTGTGTGTTGATGGTCCTGAAATTTGTGATCTGGATTACTGCATGGGTGACCGTAACACAGAGGACCCCTAGAAGTGCTAAAATACCACACTGCTTCCAATATACTTTGTATTACTTCGATATGTTCTGACTTTCTGAAAGCTGTTCTTTTTATCTCCTAG